AGAGGGAAAGGTAAAATATGATCTTTATTTTCCGGCAGTTTGGAAAACTTACTCTTTTGTAAAATTTAAAAACATAGGATGTAACTAAATTTTATGAATAGTAACTGATATACTTTATGCTTAAAGTGTAGTTTAGTGAAAACTTGCTACTTTATTCCATCTGATTTCTGAGTAATATGGCATGAAGCTTTTTCATATGATATTATTGTAATTGCTTTTTTAAAAAAATCAAAATGTATACCTGTAAATTTCTATGAATTATTTTAAACCTTCCCCATTTTTCTTAAACCTCCAAACCCATCCCTACCAGCTCTCCTGTAAGATGACCTATTTAGTTACTTAGCTATTTTGTAAACTTGAGATCAGGTCTATCCACTGTGGTAAGCTATACCTACTCACCTCAGATTTCCCTCTTCTTTCTTTTTTCTAAAACCTAACTCTTTTTGCTCTTTTTTAAATTCACTTTTATTTTCCCACAAAATCATTGCTCTTTAAAGAGAAATTCTGGTCTTTCTTCTAGTTCCCATCATGTTAAAAGTTGTTTTTGGTAGCAGTCATACTAATTACCAGTGTGCCTTTTTCTTTTTTTGGTGCTGGGGATCGAGCTCGACCTTGCACTTGCCGGGAAGGTGCTTGTGCCACTGAGCTAATATCTCCCCAGCTTAATTTTCAAAAATCGACTTTTTTTTTTTAAAAAAAAAAAAACTTCTGACATCCTAGGTAAAATTGTAAGTACCGTACACTAACCGACTGTGCCACTGGACCACCCAAAGTTTTTCTTCCATAACTTTTGATGCCCTTTTTCTTCATCAAGCCGTTCAATATAGGTATTCCTTCCGAAGTTTATCTTGGTTATCTTTCAAAACAGGTTGTTTTCCTGTGGTCAGTGCTTTATTGTTAAGGTTCTAAGATACTTTAAAGTGACTCCTTGACTCTTTATGATTGATATGCTGCTGTTTTGGTCAATTTTATGTGTCAATTTAAAGAGGCCATGGTTACCTGGACATTCTGTCAGAATTTATTCTGGGAGTATCTATGAGATTAACATTTGAATTGGTAGACTGAGTAAACATAAAAAAATCTGTGAAAGATTAATGGATAAAAGATGATTGGTGCTTATGATTGTTTTAATTTGAGAAAAGCGTTACAAAAAAATACAAATTTTAAAGTTAAAATCTAGCAATGCCACTACTGAGGTTCAATTTTTTTTTTTTTTTTTTCTAGGAATCAAACTCAGGACCTCATGCTTGGCAGGCAGGCACTGTGCTGCTGTGCTCCTAAGCTATACCCCCTGCCCCCAAATGTTTTTAAGTAAAACATGAATGGTTTTTTAAAGAAAGATAATTGTTAGGTAAAGCAAAAAGGATTTTTCTGTAGTAGTGGTCCCCAAACTTTTCGCACCTGGTTTCATAGAAGATATTTTTTCCATGGACAGAGGAGAGAAATGGAAGTGGTTTGGGGATGACTCAAGAGCATTATGTTACATTTGTTTTGTACTTTATTTCTGTGATTATTACATTGTAATATATAATGAAATAATTATAAAAACTTATAATACAGAATCAGTGGGAGTACTGAGCTTATTTTCCTGCTGCTAGACAGTCTCATTGGAGGTGATGAGAAACGGTGACACGCAGTGTTACGCTTAATCTATTCTGTATTCTTGTTTTGGTTGCAACCACTGCACAGAATCTTCCTTCACAAAGATATGATATTGGAAATGAAAGCAAGCTTTTTTAAGTGCTTTTGTGGCAATCTCAATATGTTCTGCCTTGACCTTAATCCAGAGCATATGTAGATTTATGGTTGTCTCAGACATATTGTTGTGTTTGACACAGGGTCTCACTATGTAGTTGAGGTGGTCTTGAGCTCATGGCAATCCTCCTGCTGTAGTGCTTGAATTACAGGTATGTGTCACCAGGCCCAGCTCAAAAAAAAAAATTTTTTTTTTGATACAAAGAATCGAACTCACTTCCCAGGCAGGTGATGTGTCACTGAGCTATATTCCCAGCCGCAAATGTACTTTTAAGGTCACCATCATTTGTAGTTAATTCTTTTCTAGCATGGGCATACTCCATCTGGCTTTTTGACAAGTGGATTGTGGATCCATTCTTTCCCATTTCAGGTATCTTTTGTCCTTTTGAATCTAAGCTCAAACTCTTTCAAAAGCTCAAATGGTGATTATGTACCAGATAGGAGAAAGAAGGCTTTGGTTCAGTGTTTTCCAGAATCTATGCTAATGCTGAAATATTGTCAGAAATCCAGTGTTCACTTGATGCACCCCACATTTCATTTTTGGTTTTGAATACAGGCATTTTATTTGCTTGTTTGAGCACCGTTTTATTCCCCTGAAGAGACAGATTAAGTTCATTGAGCAGGTTGAGTGTGTCATTAGTTCTAACATAACTTTCCCAGAGTATTAGCATCTTGAGGAAATCAATAATAGCCTTACAATTTAAGAAAAAGTTTTTTAAGAGAAAGACATGCTGTAAAAATCTTCTCTTTGGGCTGGTGAGATGACTCAGTGGTCTAAAGCACCTACTTGGAACAAGCTAAGCAAAGCAAGGGGACCGCGGTTCAATCCCCAGCACCACATGCCAGCCAGACCCGCCCCCTGGTGGGCTGAGCTGGCCACACACACACACACAAAATAAATAAATAAATAAATAAATAAATAAATAAATAAATAAAAATTAAAAAAAAACTTTATAGGAAATGATTAGAAATTGTTCCAGGCTAAGGATGTTGCTCAGATGGTACAGTACTTGCCCAAGGCCTTATGCTTAGTCGCCAGTACCACATGTATACACAGCATAAGGATGGTTTCACACTCCACCATGTTAAAATTAGGCCAGAAATAGTGGCACACACCTATAATTACCTAGCTGAGGTAGGTGGATTGTTGTGAGTTTAAGACCACCCAGAACTCTTAATGAGGTTTTTTTTTTTTTTTTTTATCTGAACGCCCTCAGGGGTGGTTTGGCTGGCTGGAGTGTTGTGGGGATTGAACTACAGCAAACTGAGGCTGACAGCTTTGTGGAAGCAGCCACTTAAACAACTGAGCTAAGGCCAGGCCCCCCCAGAACTCTTAATGAGACTCCATCTCAAAAAAAAAAAAAAAAGAAAGAAAGAAAGAAAAAGTCTAATGAAAAAATGAATGTAGACAAGCAAGCTATGACATTCCCCGCCCCCCCCCTTTTTTTTTTCTTTCCTTTGCAGCCCAGGCTGGCCTTGAGCTCATTCCCAAAGATCGTTCTGCCTCAGCCTCCCCAGCCTTCTGAATGCTGGGATTACAGGCATGTACCACGCCTCGCCTGCATTTCTCTTTTTTTGTGTGTTTGTTTGTTTGTTTGTTTGTTTGTTTGTTTTTGCAGAACCGGGGATTGAACTCAGACCCTTGTGCTTGCCAGGCAAGCGCTTATTCTACTGAGCCATCTCCCCAGTCCCCAGTGCTACTATTTTATAAGGGCTTTTATTGTTTTGATTAGAACTTTAGTTATGCTACACTGATTTTCAGTACTGTTCTTTGTCTCCCTTTTTTTTTTTCAAGAACCCTGTTTTTAGTTATGATTTTGTAAATGCTAGCATATCCCCATCTTCATACCACCTCTCCTCATATGCCCCCAAATAATTATATCACATTGTAGGAGAAAGGACTTTGCCACAGTTTTATAAACAGAAAACTTACAAAGAAATTGTCTTAGATTTTTGGTTAATCAAAATGTTAGCTGAATATGCTGATGCACCCCTGTGATCTTAGCTACTCAAGAGGCCAAGGCAGGAAGATCACAAATTTAAGGCCAATTTGGACAAAGCAAGACATGGTCTCAAAAAATATAAATTAAAAGCTTTTTGTTTACCATGGCCATTGAAATCTACTACAACTCTAAGCTTATACGCTGTTTTTATTTACTTAGTTTTGAATTGAGAATGTTCTAATTTGTGTGTGTGTGCCTGTGTGTGTGTGTATGTGTATGTGCGTGCACCGGGAATGGAACTTAGGACCTCATGCTTGCCAGGTGGGTGCTGTGCTGCTGAGCTAAACCACTGGCCCTCTATCTTACTTTTAAAGGAAATTTACACGTGAAATTTGTGCCAAATCAAATATTTCTTATAAGGTGTCAAAATTTCTCTAACTGAACTCTTCTTTGACTATCTTTTGGTGGTAAATTGATGGTGTAAACAAATATTGGCCAGATTTAATTTTTGGAGGACAATACAGTGTTTATGTAACTTTATTAACATTGAGAAAATGCCTACTTCTAAAACTTATTTTCTTACCTGAAGTATTTTCTTAGGCTATAGGGCCTAAATTGAATATATAGAAACTGTGGGGGCTGGAGAGATGGCTCAGTGGTCTAAAGCACCTATTTGGAACAAGCTTGGAAAAGCACAGGGACCGCGGTTCAATCCCCCAGCACCACATAAAAGCACCACATGCCAGCCAGTCGCGCCCCCTGGTGGGCTGAGCTGGCCACACACACACACACACACACACACACACACACACACACACACACACACACACACACACACACACAAAATGTTAAAAAAAAACTACTGGAAAACAAAACAGGTAAAAGGTGTTTTTTTAAAAAAAAAAAAAAAGAAAGAAACTGTGATGTATTAGAGGAGTCCTTTATTGACTTAATCTCTTTGTTTTCTTAAAATAGAAATTTTAATTTTAATTAAAATTTAATTAATTAAAATTTATCTTTTAATTTTATTCAGCTATTAACAAAGTCATTTCAGGAATAAATGAAAGACACTAACCTTCCATTCTTACTGCTTAATACTGACTGTATTCTACTTTTGAGCATTGAAAATTAAAATAAGGCCCTGTTGGTATTTTAGAAAGACAGAAATCTGTAATTTGCAGTTCTGTTACTTAAAGGACATGCTTTATCTCCATAACTTTCTCTATACTTTGTATCATAAAGGTATGTTTGTGCTGTGCAAGATCTTTAACTTTAAAAATAAAAACACTTCTTTAATTACAGAAAGACTCAAATGGGACCAGTAGTTTGCCAACTGGAAGTTCTCTTCTACAGGAAATCGAAGTACAGAATGAGGAGGTGGCAGCTTTTTGTCAGTCTGTTGCAAAGTAAGAAACTTTTCTTTATAAATTAAAATTTTCTAAGTTACATGCTCATTTTCAAAATAACTTGAAGTTGAGTGTGGTGAAACAGGGCTATGATCACAGCACTCTGAGAGGCTGAGGCAGAAAAATAAAAATTTAGTGACTTAAGGGGACCCTGTATCCAAATAAAAAAAGGACCGTGCGGTATCTTAATATGAAGAACCTGGGTTCAATCCCTAGTACCATGCACAAAAATAACAATAACTTAAATCCTCGAGAACCAGTTTAGTCTTAGTAATTATACTTTTTTTCTTAAAGGTTCCTTTTTCATTTTATCTTTTTATTTTTAAATTTTGTTTGGTGGATCCGGGAGTTGAACTCAGGCCCTTGTGCTTGCCAGGCAAGCGCTTATTCTATTGAGCCATCTCCCCAGCCCCAAAGGTTCCTTTTTTAATATAGCCTCTCCAACATTTATTAGTGTTTGATTTCTGCTTTCTTTTGTTTTTGCCTCCTCAGCCTGCCCTGAGGGCGGGGTTGGCATGTTGCCCAAACTGCGGTCCCTTGCTCCTGCCTAAGCTTGCCTAAGCAGGCACTTTTAGACCACTGAGCTATCTTGCTGGCCCCATAATTACAAAATTTTAAGATTTTTAGGTGGCTGTGGTGGTGTGTGCCTATGATCCCAGTATTTGGGAGGCTGAGGCAGGCAGGCCTCCTGAGTTTGAGGCCAGCTTGGACAGTTTACAAAATGTTTGTTTATTAATTCTTATTCTCATGTGGTTAAAATTTAAGTCCAACCGTTAACTGGCACATTATAATGAATCATAGTTATATATGTATGTGTTTGTGACTGAGTTTAATTAGACACAGTATGATTATCAGCAGCCTCAATATACTAATTTTTGGGGCCAGGGAGATAGCTCAGTAGAATAAGCGCCTGCCTGGAAAGCACAAAGTCCTGAGTTCAATCCCCAGTACCGCCTCCCTCCGCCCCCCCCCAAAAAAAAAATATGTATCCTTCACCCTTTATTTGAGAACTTTTACCTTTTCACTTAAAGGAAGCCCTTTACAATTTCTCTTTGGTGAATCTGAATTGTCAGTATAATTAGTTTTGCACTTTGGGGCCATTGTTAGGTAAAATGAGCGTTACTTGATGATCTGGTCACTGAGAGTAGTTAAGTAACTGATTGGTGAGTAGTGTATATATAGTGTGACTGCACTGACAAGAGGTGTAATTCATGTCCTGTGCAAAGACAGATCAGGATGACAGAATGGCATGCAGTTTGAAACTTGTAAGTTGTTTACTTTTGGAATTTTTAAAATATTTCCATTTAATATTTCAGACTGTAGTTGATTGCAAGTAACAGAAACTGTGGTAAAGAAAACTGTGGGGGCCGGGGAGATGGCTCAGTGGAATAAGTGCTTCCCTGGCAAGCACAAGGGCCTGAGTTCAATCCCCTGTTCTGGAAAAAAAAAAAAAAGAAAACTGTGGATTGAGGGATGTAATATATTTTTATATATACATATACACATTTATACACATGGTAGCTTATGTAATTTAAAGTTCCAAATGGACTAGAGAATGAGTTCTTTTTGTAAAATTTTATTTCAGTTAATTATGATTGTAACAAATATTTATCAGAACAGTAAGAAAGAGGTTTTTTATGGTAAGAATTTCTTTTCCTAAAGGATACAGATATATTTCTAACTTTATTTTTTTAGTACGTATATTTCATATATAATGATCAATTCATCACATTCATCATAGGGAATTTATACCTCTACATAATTATATCTTTAAAAAGGAGAGAGGGGTGTGTGTGTGTGTGTGTGTGTGTGTGTGAGTGTGAATAACTGGGTGTGGTGAGACATGACTATAATCTCAGATCTCAGCACTGGGAAGGCTGAAACAGGAGGATCATCGTGAGTTCAAGGGTAGTATGGGCTTAGTAGTGGTGATGGGGAGAATATGTATACATAGTGATAACAGTCATCATAGGGAATTTGTACCTGTACATGGTGTATCTTCTATTGCTTTTCCTCCCATACCCCTCCCCACCCTTCACCCCCCTTTACCTCTTTATTTTTCTTTTTTATTAACTATAAAATAATTACATGTATTAAAAATTGTAGATGAATATTGAAATATGAAAGATATAAGATATAGATAGTGATTTTCAGAGTAATAGTTCTGAAATGAATATATCACATGAGATTAATAATAGAACACACATTGTAAATAAATTAGTTACAAACTTAAATGAATATAAGAATAAAAATTGTCCAGAATAAAAATGAATTTACAGATCAGTCATATAATAGTTCACTCTGTGTCAAAATCAAGAGACTTATATTCATATAATTAGAATTCTCAAAGTAGAAAGAAGTAGGCAAAAAATTTTTAAAGATTTAAAATTTCTGAATTTAGTTGAACTTCTTTTTTTTCTTTTTGGCAGAAGCAGGGATTGAACTCAGGCCTTTGCACTTGCCAGGGAAGTGTTTTTTCTAGTGAGCCATCTCCCCGGCCCTCTTTAGTTGAACTTATAACACCACATTTCCAAGAAAAATGAACCTTTTGCATAAGAAATTTGAATAAAATCATACCCAGATAAACAAAAATGAAATTGTCCAAAACTTATTGTAAAGAAAAAAAATCATTAAAACATATACATTAAAAAATTAACTATGGAAGAACAAAATTAAATAGCATCTTATTCCACATTAGAAAAAAAAGACCAAGTGTGTAAGAAAATAGACTAATTAAAGGACTGAAAGAAAGTACAAAAATAGATCATCTGCCCTCTTTGAATTTTATACTTAGCAAACACACCTTTGAAAACTAAAAGTAAAATATTTTCCAGTTATACAAACTGGAAATATTCTAATACCTCCAGACATAGCCTATAGGAAATAACAAAGAGCATAATTCAGAAAGCAAGAGAAGTTGCTATATGCCCCTGGATGAAGAATATAGAGCTCTCAAAATGATATTTTGCAGGACTAGGTCATTAAAAATTTCTATGAAACAGTATCAATCTTATGTCAGGTTATACACTTTTTTTTCATATGTTTGTGTATATAAAAAATAGGGAAGGGGCTGGTGAGATGGCTCAGTGGTCTAAAGCACCTACTTGGAACAAGCTTGGCAAAGCACAGGGACTGTGATTCAGTCCCCCAGCACCACATGCCAGCCAGCCCCGCCCCCAGGTGGACTGAGCTGGCCACACACACACACACAATAAATAAATGTTTTTTTTTTTTTTAAAGATAGGGAAGAAGTAATATAAAGTGAATGGAAGATGGAAATATACTTTTAAAAGTTTCTAATACTAGGAGAAAATAGCATACCATGTCTTTTAAGTAGATTGTAAGTCAAATATACAGTATAAATCTTAAAAATTAAG